AAGAAGAGTGGAAAGAGTAATGTCGCCCATCACACTTTATTGGCCACCCCGACATTGCATGTCCTAGCTATAAGGAACCAAGTGCTGGACCGAAACATGGTCTCCAAGTCATCGTGTTGAATCCAAAACATAGAATCTTGGTTAAGTCATACAAAGAATCTTTTAAAATTAGGTTAAATTATGTGCGACAAGACTTAAGTCTTCTCTTTTTTTTCTTAGCATGTGAATAATTTCGTTGGGTGGATACGGTGCAATTTTCTAAATGGGATCTCAGCTTTTGATCATGCTGAGGCAGCTGGTAGACCTTACCACTTTATTGTATCAAATAATAAAGTCGGTCTAACCAGATTTGCTCCCAAATTTATTAAGGAAAAGCATGGCCTGGTCAAGGATGGTGAGGTTGTCCAATAGGTTTTGAATGTGATGTGTAACGACTACAGTGGAAAGACCCCAAATAGAAGAAGCCATTATAGCCAAGCATCAATCATGAATAAAATGAGAGAAGAAAAACGAAAGGGTAGTGTTATCGACATACTAATTTTCATCTCTTACACATTCCTCTCAGTTTTTTGCTATTGGATCGAATGATGGACACAAATTAGCAATATGTAAAAAGAGGCGTGTGAATAGCATTATCCCAACGAAATTGGTTCGAATTGATTGAAGATTATAATATTGGAGTGTTGAGAACAAAATTAGCAAAATGTATTTGGGCCAAACTTACACTTACTCTATAGGGTTGGAAACATTCAACTCTAGCTTTAGCCTAAAGCAACTTCAACTTCAAGTCTAGCCCAAGTTCAACCCACTTGAAAGGTCCACAAGCTAAAAAATGTTGATTGTATAAATTCTTTTCATCTGGGTTGTTTTTCTCTTTCATGCAAACGGTAGTGGAAGAGCATGGAATCGAACATAAGATCTCGGGGGCATGGGTAATTGTTCTTGACCATTTGAGTTACAAGCATTTTGCTTCATCAGGTTATCGTTGAAGCTTTAATCAAACTGATATTGTTGTACAATCTAAGTATTAACATATTAATCCAACCACCATAGAGAAGCAAGCTTGAAGAAAAGAGAGAGAGAGAGGCTCTCTATATTTCACTCACAGAATGAGATAAATACCTTTACCATTCAGAGAGACTACAACATATGTATACAGAGAGAATCATAGCTTTCTTAGCTCTCAAGCAATACAGCTAACTAACTCACCGACTCTCTCTAACAGCCTAACAGCCAACATTATACACTAATTACCAATACTAAACCACTAATATTTAGCTACATAACTGTCAATACTCCCCTTCAATCTCAAGCTAGGGAAAACGTTGGATTATACGAAGTCCTTTTTGTCAAAATGTAGCAATTTATTGATTTATTGATCTGTAGGAATGTAGGTCGAAATTTATAGTACGCAGTCGTTGTGCTCCTAGAACAACCCAGTTTACTCCTGGACCTAAACAAGAGAAATCATTCAGTAGAAACTCTAATGAAAAGGACTTATGGTAATGGAGTAACTGGTTGAAGTTCGAAAATCAGCTAACGATTTACCATCTTGCTTGTTACATAGATATGCAGAGTGGTATTCCGGTATGGCAGTATACCAAGAACATGCTCCCCGCGGCAATTTAAGGTCATACAACCTGCATATTTTTTTCAGTTAAATTTATCATGTAAAGGAGAATGAAGAAGAGATATAAAGAGTAAAATCTGCTGATGAAAATTTTAAGAACTGAGTCAAACAATGTAAAACAAACTAACAAAGTAATAATACATTTTTACGATGATCAATCAGGACTGTTCAGAGTTGTTGCTCTGGCGTATAAACCTTCACCTAAATCGGACAGCAAAATTCCCACTCGGATCTGCTAGTTTTGGGACAAGATGAAAAAAAGGACAACTGTATTTGGCCGTATATACAGTCCCTTGGCTACAAAAACCAGACACAAACCCAAACGATGATGCCTTGCATCACAAGTCTAAATTGAAAAACTGTGTAGGATCGAAAACTCATCTACCCGTTGCAGGTCCGTGATGTGGTTATCTTGTCTGTCGACAACATCGACAGTAAAAACCGGTAATCTCACATGAAGTTAATAGACACACATACCATATATACTGTTTATCTGTATATATTGAGTTAATCTTAAAGGTCATAATTCATTTAATTAAGAATTAGATATAAGGTTTAATAAATTGCAGAAATGATACCATCAGTATCCAAGGATTAGAGCAGTGTGCTTCCCTTCTATGCATTAAGTTTGAATCTACTTTTTCCTCACGTTAGTTTCTAGATTCCAAGTTTACTATACGTGTTATAGGATAGTAATCATATTGGTTTCCATTCAAACGAGTAGTAATCAGCTTTTACAAAATCAGTACTATTCTTACCCCAATTTCATAAAATTTTAGTAAATAGCTTAATAAGAAATTTGGATTCTGACTATCCTTAGTCTAATTCTACGTCAAATTAGTAAATGAGCCATCAAAGATAGTGAGAAAATTGAGAATTGAACACAAGATCTGATGTGCATGAGTTATTACTCATGACCACTTAAGTTACAAACTGTTTTGCTCATAAGTTCATATAGTCAAACCTAACTAATCTCATACTACGATCCAAGAGGTCTGAATTTGGAGTAAGCTATCATTGAACTCCTGGAACAATATCACATATTTTCCCAATGTGATTGCATTGCACACAACTCTATATCGTTGGTTGATATAAATCTTCAAACTTAATTGACAAGAAAGCCCTTTTCATCATGAAATCCAATTATTCTGGTTATCGTTGTAACTTTTACAATAACTTGACGATGAAGAAACATTCAAATTGGACAGTGTTTTATGGTCCTTTGCAAACTCTCACTTAGTTTTTGTGGTCTTGGGTTGGCGTTGGCCTGGTCCAAATAAGCACATCACATTGATGCAAGCCTTTGCTCGACAATAACGAGCTTAGCCCAACTCCAACTCCCAAGTATGAAGTTTCAATTGTCCAACCCAAAAACAAAAAAGTCTGAATTGTCCAATTTTTCGAGACCCTCACTCTTTAGGAAAATAAAAGTATGTGTAAAATACAAAAAATTACTTCAACTATTGGTGTCATGACACTTTCATACCTCATCTTTTAAAATTAACAATGTCATACCTCATTTTACGAATTTGTGTCAATGTTAAATCTTCTGTTAGTCTGCCGTTAATTTGTCAGTTAAATGTTAACGTGGTTTGATCCAGACCCCACTTTCTATTAAAAAAATCATTTAATATTTTTAAATATTAAAATACTAAAGAAAAGTTAAAACAAAAAAAATCAAAAAAGTCAAAACCTTTCGTCCCATCCACCCCCTCCTCCATTTTCTCTCTCCCCACCTTCTTCTTCCCTGTGTGATTCAACCCAAAAAAAAAAAAATTTTGAAAACCCATCAACCCCCAACCCCCCCGCCCCGGGAAGAAGAAGAAGAAGAAGAAGAAGAAGAAGAAGAAGAAGAAGAAGAAGAAGGAAGGAGGAGAAGAGAAAAAATAAAAATAAATACCCAACGCAGTTCGTCCCCCCCCCCCCCCCAAAAACAAAAAAAACACAAACCCAGTTCGTCCCCTCCCAAAACAAATCCAACTCCCTGCCAACCCAGAAAGAAAAAGGAGGAAGAAAAAAAAAACAAAAAAACCCAAATCCCGTTTGCCGATTTCGCAAGGGGTGGGTGCGAAGGGTGGATGTGAGAGGAAGACGAACTGGGATTTTTTTTTTTTTTTTTTCTGGGTTGCAGGTAGGGGCTCAGGTGGGGGAGAAGAGGGGGGGGGGGTTGGGTGGGGATGGGGGAGAAAAAAGAAGGGCCCGGGGGGGGGGGGGGGTGGTGAAGGTGGGAAGGGATGAAGTTTTTTTTTTTTTTTTTTCCTTTTTTTTCTTTTGTTTTCTGGGTTGCATGCTTGCAACATGGGGTGGGTTGCAAGCTTGCAACAGGGGGAGGGATGGAGGAAGGGAAAGGGTTGTTTTGTTTTGTTTTTGTTTTTATTTTTTATTTTTTTTACTTTTCTTTATTATTTTAATATTTAAAAAATATTATCTGATTTTTTTTTTAGTTTTTAATAGTATTTATTAATTTTTTTAATAAAAAGTGGGCCTTGAATCATGCCACGTCAACATTTAACTGAGAAATTCACGCCAAGTTAACGAAAGGTATAACATTGGCACAAATTCGTAAGATGAGGTATGAAAGTATCATGACACCAATAGTTGAGGTAGTTTTTTATACTTTACCTTAAAAGTTTTGTTCGGAGACGCCTTTGTTGAAAACACTTCATATCGTAAGTGTTTATTTTTAGAAGCACTTGAAAGGGCTTGATGAAGATGTGTTTCTTAGAAAGTACTTTTACAACTCAAAAACGTTTTTAAGTTTTATAAGCGCTTCTAGTTGTTAAGAGATGCATTCTATAAGCATTTATGAAATGCCCCTTTACCATGTCCACCTAATTCAAAGCATATTCTATGAATTAGAAATGAAAACTCAAACCACTTTTTTTTTTTTTTTTTTTTTTTTTTTTTTTTTTTTTTTTTTGGAAAACATAAGCTATATTTGAAAGAGAAATAATTTTTACACATCATATTTTTTTGCATTTGCACAACTTGATTTAAAATTATCCTTATTCCTCCTTCACATTACGCGATTTTCTAAAAACAATTAACCATAAGTTAGAATCACACGAACACAAAAACGTATGTCATAATTATTAATTCGTTTGGATGTAGTTTAAAATTAATTGAAAGAGCTTTTAGAGAAAATATTTTTGGATTTCAAAAGCACTTTAAGTGCATTCTACAAGAAGCATCAGTTATGTGTTTCTTCCAGAAACTTTCAGAAAGCACTTTAAGTGCTTTTTCAGGATTTACTAGCATTTTTCCTAATGATTGTTTATACAAATATTTTCACTAAAAACATTTTCAATTATTTTAAAAGCACATCAAAACAAACTCTATTTCTCATCTGACAAAAAAAATATTTACCACTCAAAAACAAAAATAAAAAGCCGCTAATAAAAGGCAAAGTTTGTCTCCAACAGTTTAGGGTTGAGAAGAAAAACCACACCAGTATTCGAACTGAACAGTCTGCAAGCACCAAACCTTCTTCCAATCCACCAACGCCACCACCATGTCCCAAAAACCCAAATCACGACGCAAAACCACAAAAATCGAACAAACACCAACACTCCCAATCCAAAACGCGACCCCACCAGAGTTCCATTTTTCCATAGCCAGGATCGCGGTGTCTCAGATCAGCCAATCAGTCGGATTCAAATCAACGAAGCCCTCCGCACTCGAAACCCTGACCCACATCGCCGTCAAGTACATCGGCGCCGTAGCCTCCGCCTCGGCCTCCTACGCCGCCATGGCCAAGCGCACCAACACGAACGTCTTCGACTTCGCCAACGCCCTCCACGACTTGCAGTCGGTGCAAGGATTCAGAGGCGCCTCCGCCCTCCACGAAAACGGATTCTGCGTATTGGGTTCGAGCGTTTTGAGCGATCTCGCCGGGTTCGTGAGGTGGAATCGGGAAACCCCCTTCGCCAGGCCGATTCCGCGGGTGGAGAAATTGGGCGAGGAGAAAAGGGGAAATGGGGTTCCCATTCCGCCGGAACTGGATTCCCGGAGGGGCTTGCACGTGCCGAGATGGCTGCCGGCGTTTCCGGACATGGGGAAGGCGGTTGGGAAGAGGAGGAATGGGGAGGAGCTGTGGGAGAATGTAGTGGCTGGTAATGGCGGCAGTGGCGGTGGCGGTGAGGGTGAAAGTGGAAATGGGAAAAGGAATTGCAGGGAATCGGTGGGAAAGAGTAAGAGGGGGAGAGTGAGGTTTAGGGTCGGAGGAGGGGAAGAGGAGAGTGGGGTGGTGGGGGAAATGGGCGTGGATTTGAGGAGTGGGGTGTGTAGAGGAGGGAAGAGGGTGTCTTGTAGTAACAGTGAAATTGGTTACACTAATTTCAGTACCAGAACAAGAATTCATGAATTTGTTGATGATGATGATGATGATGATGGTGATAAAAGATAGTTTTAATTTGATAATTTTGTTGTGATGAAGATATTGAAGTTTTTTGGCAAATTTCAGAGGTTGTTTGTAATTTTTTTCACCAAGTTGTGTGTTCCGGAGGGACACAGCAGGATTCGATCGTCCGATCTCTCTCCCAAAAAAACGTAGTGCTCTCTCCCAAAGAAACATAGTGCATCGTCGGCGCCATGCCTTTTGCAGGAGTTTCTACACGAAGCTATGGATTTACGATTTTATGTCATCGGTCTAGTATCTTAGTAGATATCTTAGTAGATAGGACATGTTCTAATATTTTAGGGGATAGGATGTGGTTTAATAACTTAGTAGATAGAATGTAGAGTTTCTACTTATGCATTTAGGGTTCGGAATTCTTCTCTTTTAAATTATTGTAAGTACTCATCGCCCTTCCCTAACAATACTAAAATAGAAAAATTCATTGGTTTTCCACTGAAACTGGTGGGCCTCTCGTCCAATCTTATGGAAGAAATCTCTAAGTTCGAATATATAGTCTTGGTGGAACCATCTTCCATTATTAGGGATGAAATCCATGTTCAAATCCCCATCTCGAAAGATAATTTGGAATTCAACTTTCCGATCAAATTTAAACACATCAATGGCCCAATGCTGCTTTTAAAAATGTCAATCCGAATAACCGTACATGATACTCTAAAAATATTATCTCGCTCTCCTTACTAATGAAATCTAATAAATAAAACCTTTGAGTTTTAACGAAAATAACAAAAAAGTGTTGTAAGTGAATAATATCAGAAATCAAATATTTTGCACTCAAACTAACTGAGGCCTCTCTATGACCCCAATCGATGCCTGACACATTTATAAATTTAACTTTTCTAATTTTGTTGTCATAAACTTAATGTGTCAATTATTAATTGGAGCTACAGAAAGGCCACACCTGTTTTGGAGACGGAAGATTTGACCTCGATCCGAATGTCGGAGGTTACAAGTTACAACCAATGAGTGAAGCATTCAGAACTGGAATCAAGAAATCAAAAGACTATCCATCCGTAGGGCAACGCACTCATTTCTTATACCAAAGTACTAGTAGCATCATATAGGGAGTTTCTTTCACACAAAAAATACATCTTCCGCCTCGTGACACGTCCGAATATCACTACTTTTAACTAAGCACAGAGTTGCAACAGATATATGATCTTTCTCTTAACAATTACTACAATATAATTGCAGAAGTTTGGACTGACGAGGCCAAATGATTTTCTTGACAACGGCAAAGGGCTCATTTTCCGCAGTTGAAACCATGGCAAATGGAGAGTATTATGATAAGGATTAAGGCGATCAGGATTCCTAAAACAATCAGCTTCACCTTCATGTTCTGCAGCCACATCTTCCTCCGCATTTTAGTCCCCACAGTCCGAAAGTCCTGTGCCTGTAAGCAGATCAATTTTTCCCCGTAAGTAGGGAACACTGAATAACAACTCGTTCAAAGGAAACAATATCTTGAAAGATGAATCAATTTCGAATGACACCGCACATTATGCATTAGCAATGTGCTCAGACTTACGTGGGTTGGCATGCCAATTCAATAGGGAAATACTTATACAAAAAACTATTCTATTTATTAAACAAGACCATGCAAATGATAGAGAACGAGATACGACCTGTTGATGAAGGTTCTCAGTCTTATCGACTAAAAGCTCTATCTTTTCCCCCCTATCCAAAACCTGCATCAAAATGCAAAAAGAACATATGAGAAGATTATACTACAACATGTACAGAAAAACAGGTTTGAAAAAGGCAACTTGAGCAAGCAAGTTACAAGTTCATCTAATGACATTTGTTCTATGTCTATAAGAATGGATGCATATACAACCAAAATCAACAATCATCGAACTTAGCCCGTGCAAAATATAACCCCTCAATGGACACAATGATATCCGATACCACCACATCCCCCTTTCCAAATCCCAACTATCATTACTTCTTCCACATTGCCCGATCCGTTAGTAGCTTAGCTTCTAACAACACACACAAGATTGCACATGCTACTTTATGTACGTGTGTCCAGATCGCTGTACAACTAAATGCTCAATAATTACTGAAGAGCATTTCTTCCTAAAGTCAGGGCGAAAACCACCAATCCTATCCATTTTCTCAAATTCGAAATAAATAAAATGGGCAAAAAACATAAACAATTAAGAAATAAATAGATTCGTGAAGCTCCAGCAGTTACTATTTGAATCAATAATATTGTATCCCAGGATTATCAAACAATCTGATACAAACCAAGTGAGCAATACAGATAAATCAAGGCTGTCTACCTTTTCAATATTCTCCATCATAACACCTTTGACTTCTGAAACCTGGGCCTTCACCTTTGCAAGCTTGCTTATTTCTTCAGGATGATCAACACAGTATTGCATATGTTCCTTCAATTTTGACCTGCAATTAACGGAAGAACAAATCACCAATTTTAACCAGATAAAAATATAATCACCGTGCATTTTACATGATCCTAATCACTACAATACCCAAATTCCTTGTTAAGGCTGTTGGCAGCAGCTGTGGCAGCCTTTCCAGCACCATATTTCGCAACAAAGTCATCCTTGACACGCTCCAGAAAAGCGATAGGTACTTGTCTTCCACTCGATTCATCTGCAACCACACAGTATGCTGCAACAATGACAAACTTCGGTGAGTACATTGATTGAATAACATACCGGTAACTTTTGAATTGACACTAAAAAGAACTTAAAAACACTCGGTTCTAAGATTTTAAACACAGGAATTTCGAATATCCTAACAATTTCAACATCCAGGAAATCACGGCATTGGAACTATTTTCGACAATCGAAGTGCAACAAGACGATTCACGCTTGCACACTTGCAGAGCGCAAATCAATACAGATATCTTCAAATATAAGCCGAAGATCCAAGATCTAGAAACTCCAATGCACAGAAACCGAAATTTTGCGCCGAAAACTCAAAATTTACAAAACAAAACCAAAGCATCAAGATCAAGCTCAGATCTAACAACAATTAGGCACACCAAACGGAGCGCAACAAAGCAAAGCAAAACGAACAAATCAAGCAATCAACACAACATAAAGTAGAAATTCCAGCATTTTCTCGGGAAACAAACGGAAAATAAAAGAAAAGGGAAAAGGAGATTACTGTAGCCATTGTCGACGAGGTAATTGAAGGTGTGGCCATCGCAGTTGTAGGTGAACTTGTTGTTGGTAGCAGGAAGCTTCTGGAGGCACTGAAACGCAATGGAGTTGAAATTGCCGCTGAATTCCGTGTACTCGGCGAGAACCACAGTGCCGCGCGCCACGAACGCGTAGATCAGCGCCTTCTGCCCCATTTTTTGCTCCAACCTTCTGCTCTCTGCCTACTGCTGTGCGTTCTTGTTCTCGTTTCAGAGAGACGCACAGCGATTTCGTAGTTTTTATGCTTTTTTCTTTCGAATTTTTGGGGGTTGGGTTGGATTTTTTTGGGTTTTGATGCGCGAAGCGCCCTTTTTGTCTCTCTCTCTCTCTCTCTCTGATCTGGCCTCCCACTGGATTTGTTTTAGAGAGAGAAAAGGGCAAGTTTAAGGGGGAGTTTAATGAGGTTTAAAAAGTAGAGAGAGAGGTGAGGGAGAAGAAATGTCGGGTTTAAATTTTAAAAATATGGATTAAAAAGTTTAATTAGAGTGAGAGGGATTTTTTGGGGAAGGATTGTTGTGAGGTTGGACTCGCGAGAGACTCATGAGCTCTTTCTTTCTTTTCTTAAGCAAGGTGATTATCGAAAGTGAGATTCCCTTAGGAGTATATCGTATGAAATTTAAATGAATTTATCGTAAATTATGTTATGTTAGATTAGATTGTATATAAAATATAATGTGAATATAAAAAGGAATTGTTATTAGCATTCTAAAAATCTCATTTTATACCCTAAACTTTCTACATTAGGAAAAAAATACATTTGTGAGGAGTCTAAAATGAGATTTTTGGAGTACCAATAACACTTCTCATATAAAAAGCTTTTTAGTCAAAATAGTCTTTAAAATTAGCACAACTCCTCACTTTAGTTCGTGAAATTGAAAACCGATAGAACTAGACCTTAAGTTTGTCTACCATCCTCAATCACTTTGGTGATTTTGTAAAAATTTCCGTTAAATAAGGAAGAAAATAACAAAAATACCTCAACTTTCTATAAAATCATTTTAGTTCATTGTTTATTAATTTTAGTGTATTTTTGTTATTATTTAACAAAAATTTTAGAAATGACCGAAATAATTAATAATAGATAAACACAAATGATAATTTTATCAATTTCAAATATAAAAAATCAGCATCCTCAAACATTTTGCTAAAATGCTAAAAAAACGTTTGATCCTATTGCGTGGAGTAAGCTTTCATTCGGCTTCGTATACGTGGCAGAGTTCAGGTGCCCGTCAAGCCCCTGTGAGAACTGCTCACCCACCAGTGTTGTACGGAATAACAAATATTACAATTTTTTAATCCAAAAGAGGAAGCGTAACAATAAAAATTAAGAGAGAATAAGCATCAATTTGCCTGGCCCACCCGTGACGTCACTACTCACAGTTTACCGTTTCACTCTCACATCATAGAGTAAATTGTAGTAATGATTATTTAACTTTTAACTCAATTAGAGTAATGATCCATCAACTAAAAATCCATTACTAGTAGTCCCTCTACTCATCAAAACGTGCAGTTACGGTCCCTCAACTAAAAATTCATTACCATCGGTTTCTCAACTTTAATCTAACTAGAGAAATGATCTCCCAACTTTAATCATATTGGAGCAATGGTCCCTCAACTTTAATCCAATTGCAGCAATGATCATTCCAACATAACTCACTTTGACAAAATTCTAACGAAGTTAACGGAAAGGACCTTAACTACACGTTTTGATGAGTTGAGGAACCTCAATTGTAGCAAGGGTCATTCCAACATAACTTATTTTGACAAAATTCTAATGAAATTGACGAAAATGACTATAGCTACATATTTTGATGAGTTGAGAGACCAATAATAATAAATTTTTAGTTGAGAAACCATTGTTACAATTTACTTCACATCATAAGAAAGAAATGAAATATAAAGAGAGAGAGAGATGATGCATAACAAAAACAAGTTTAATATCCGTTTTTTTTTTTTTTCAGTTTTAGTTTTCATAATTCTTTCGTTTTATATTTATTTTTTTAATTTATTAAATTTAAAACGTTCAGAAGTATTCATTATAAATTATTAACAAAGAAAACAAAACGACAAACTTCAACACAATACGTATGCAAAACTAAGTTCAACTCGCAAAAAGAAAAAGTTTCAACACACATGCCGAATTGTTCTCAAAGGTGAAAAAGCAGAAAAGGAAAAGACAGATTTCATCGACCGCCTTCCAATTTGGAGTTTATATAATTTTCATAAGTACATTGCTCCTACAAGCAATCAAGGATTCTTTTAGCAAAGCAACCATTAAAAATAAGACGTTTTAGCCAAAATAGCCCCTGAAATTGATATAATCCCTCACTTCGGCCCCTAAGATTCAAAATCAATAGAAATGATCTTTGAAATTGTCCAGTATCAATTAAATCTCAAAGACCAAAGTTAAACGTTATGTCAACATCATGGACCATTTTCGTAAAAAGCCTAAAAATAAAGAATCCATATGGTCTCCAACACAACTATATGATTTAATTTAAAAAAATAATACTCAATATAAAACTTAAATACAGTTCACATTCATAAATCTTCGTATTTCGATGGTTTACTCAGATGCCAGAGGTCACTTTGAATCACTATTCCAACCCCAATTCCCTGTGATCGGTGGTGGAAACGATATGAAAGACGTTTTCCTTTTCAGTTTTAGATGCATTGTGCCGTTGGTTCGAATGCTCTATGGTTTTTCATGTCAAAACTAAACTAAGGCAGAAGATAAACAGTCTGCAATAAGCTGCAAACCATGAGATGCTTGCATGTCTCACTGGAGAGGCGTATCTGTGTTGCCAATCTTTACAGATTACTGTGTTTTTGAAGGTGGCAGCTTAGGTTGCGCCCATGCTGGTGAACTGTCGAGCCAAAGTCCTTCACCAGTTTCTTTGTGCTTAAAATCTGGAGCTTTTGGATTCCGCTGTGTATAACAGAGTAGCAAGGTAACAAATTGATCAAACAATTCAATTGGGTGTGTGTAGGAAGACAGCATGAAAGACGGACTAAATTCAAGAGGGTTACCTTATTCAATCTATTATCCCACCATTTATCCGGGTTTTCCACCAAGTTCTTCCAGGAATCCTCCCCTGATTTGAGGAGTAACAAAGTATATTTTAGACAGATTAAGTTAAGAAAATTCCAAAACCCTCCAACAGCTTAAACAGTTGCATGAAAGCATGACAGAATACATGTTGGATAATGCAGGGTAGTATACAATAAATTTGTGCAAGCTCACCTTTACTCTCTTTTACTTGTTTTGACTTCTGAATTTGAACATCAAAATGCAGGCCTTCAAGTTCTGACAAAACCGACTTTGGTGCCTTCTCAAGCCAGAGAGCATGACCACCTTCCTTCCGCTTGAAATCAGGGTAGTTTGGCTTTACCTGTAAAGGAAACAATTATGTCAAATCTTTTACCGGGAAAATCAGTCAGATAACAAAGACATTGTAAGGAATCATCACCAATCCATTGAGCTTCTTACTGCGGCAGTCCCACCATTGTTTTGGATTACTAAGAAGATCACTCCAAGAACCCAATGTAGAGTCCTCATCATTCCTCAAGATGGCTGAAAAACAATTCCGTACCTCCTTTTTCGTCAGTAACAAGATTAGAATAAGTAAACACTTTAAACATTTATTTTATTAAGTCAACCCAGCATGAAAAAAATGAATGTGAAATCTTTCAATGGCCAAGAAATTACTTTCATAAGTATCTGATATAGGTTTCTGAGTCTCTGGCTTCTGACTATCTGGTATAGGTTTCTGATCAAATGTCAAAGAATCTAACTTGTTTAGGATCAATTCAGGAGTTTTGTCATTAATCCAAAGTAACTCGCCATTGTTCTTCCGTTCAAAAGCTGCAGCCCTTGGATCCTGAGCACTCATTATAACAAGTATGATTAACTATTTACAAATAAAAGGAACATCCCCATTTATAAAACACAAGCGGTAACCCATACAGAATTGGTACCTCTTTCAACCTGATGTCCCACCACTCATGAGGCTTGGCAAGGAGATCTTTCCATGCGAGAAGATCTTTCTTCCATGATTGATCCTTGTCATCATATACAACTGTTACAATAAAAGCATGTATGAACATTATTAGAGGTTGCTAATCGAAATTAGGGCGGTATTTTCAGTTTTAGACTTCAATGACAGTCCTAAAAATTATAGTTCCTAACAAGTGTTCTAGCCACCAGGTAGACTTTTGTATGGCAACGACATAAGCACATGCATTGCCCAGTATAATGCTCATAAAGACAATATTCAAAGATGACCCATATAATACACGAAACAAAGCTGTCCAATATAACTGATGAAAAAAATATTGGAAAAATGAGTAACGTCTTCCCAAAATTGAACTTTAACAACATTCCTAACCACAATCTAGACAATTAAGAGAAGGAAGACTGCCTGACAGACCCTCCATAAAGCAGGAGTTGTGCGCATTAGAGTGCACTCAATACTTTTTCTTTTTCAGAAGAGACAGAAATTTTATTTAGTGGGGGACAGTGGACTCCATACACACTCCTAAGAACCACCGACCCTTGCAGTACAATGATATTTCTCTCTCTATCTGAATAGGGATTTAGGGGAAATGGAGACTGTCTGTGAACATTACTCTTTTGAAATGGAGATAAAAAAAGGGTTCTAAACCAATTAATAGAAACAATAAAATGAAGTAAGGCACAAGAAAAATGCACACAGCCACAAACATTATACAAAGTTGTGAGCACACCTAGCATAAAAGGACCAGTATAAACTCTTTGAACAGATATAAACTTTTGAATCAAAGTACTCGATAATTGTGTGTTTTAAATCTAATGTTTGTAGCACCTAGCATATCTTCTGGGGGACAAATGTTGTCTCATGTTCTCTAAACTTAAAAGTTTTATCAAAAGCATGCATACAATTCATTTTTACTATGTTTTCTTTTAGTTAAAAGTTAAAACTCCCCAAATATAAAACACCAACTAAAGTACGGATTGATGAGATTACACATTAATGTACTATACTGTCAATATCTTAAGCATTTCATAGCACCATATTTCAATATTACATAGAACAGGTAGCACCGATACTTCAGTGCGTGATTATAATCCAAGTACTATAAGGTGACAAAATAGAAGCTGAGAATCACTTGAATGAAGTTACCAGTGCGATCAGTTGTCCTTTCTTCTTGTCTGTCAGCTTTAGAGCTTTTATTCAGTTGATTAGATTCTTCAACAAAGTTGAAGGTATGCACCAAAACCTAACAAAGTTAGACCTTAATTGTTAGATACATATGAACACGCATCAACTGTATACTCAACCTATAAAAAGAAAGGGCATTCGAAATAAAGAAAACACTAGAGCAGAAAATTCCACCTTCCACAATTGCTAAATTAATGTATGAGTAATTA